GTTTAGGACACTTCCACACCAGACGTTCGAACTCACCTCACTGTATACATGTCCGTATACATTATCAACGTAATACATATCTACTTCCTTTTAGGGAGCTGTGTCCCTTCTAGACGTAGGCGATCTTGGTTCTCCACCACTTCCTGTCTCTGGACGCTATTGATATATTTATGTTAAATTCCGTTCTTCCATCAATTAACTCAAACTTAGTAATTATGCGCTGTTTTCCTCAGTGGCTCTTGCCTTTAATCTGTCCTGTGAGTATCAGATTTTCCAAACCCTCTTTCCTCATTAAGTGACATGTAATCTCAGCTATGTATTCCTGATGTTAAATATAAATTTCTTTTTATATTTCCATTTTATCTGAAACTTTGTCGTTGATTGCACATGTTCCGTTCATGGTATTCTCAGCATCCTTCTGTATAACTACATTCACGTTGCTTCAAGTCTCTTCTTCAACTCACTGCTATGCTGAAGGATAGATATCAAGTATCAGTTTTTTTCCTTGTTTCTAGCGAAGTATTTTATCCGAGGAGCTCATTATTTTAAATTTTTCATGACAGATCTTTGAAACCAAGGCCTGTATGTCCCCATTATCGAGTCACCCTTATGTTATTCGGATTTCATTATTAAGAACAAGAACAGATTCTCACGTAGATAGGTCTCCGAAAAATACATTTTAACTGCTTCCAGTGTATGGTCAACAGTTTTTGTTCTTTCTATTTCGTATCCCCTTCATCGCATAGGTGGTCATGGCCCTCCTCAACTTCCTGTCCCTTGTAGCGTCTAATAAATTTTCTCTTTCTTTTATTTCTCATAAATTCTATTCCGCCATCCATTTACTCAAAATCATTAAGTATGTCACGCGTTGTTTTCTTCTGTCTCTCTTGTCTTCAATCTGTCCGGAGAAAATCAGATTTTCCAAGCCTTTCATTAAGTGCTTTAGAAACCTCAACTGTCTTTTACTTATGTTGAGTATAAATGTCCTTTTTGTATCAATTTTTTATTAAATTTCGTCGCTGCTCACATGTTCGGTCTATGGTATTCTCAACATCCTACTGTAGAACTATATTTCTGTTGCTTCAGGTTTCTTCTTCAGCTTTGAAGAGATTTTCCAAAAGTTGCTGCCATTCAGGAGAATAGTAAGCGTTTCCGGTTTGTTTCTGTTTCTTAGTACTCTGCTTACCTTTTAGAAGGAATATTTCTCAATACGCCTTCGGATTTCAATGTCACAATTTCCTCTATTAAAACACTTCTCAGATATTTAAATTTCCGCTCTTGTTTGATTGTGGTATCTCAGATTTGAAATTCGCACTTTGGTATCATCCTTATGCTAAAAACCAGGCATTTTGTCTTGCAGTTGGTGTTTAAACTTTTCTACTCACGTACCATCACTAAATTCTGTAGGGTTTTTATATTATATATTTTCTGCATAGACTTATTAAGTGCTAACATGAAGTGAAATGCGTTTATTGTATATATATATATATATATATATATATATATATATATATATGTATATATTGTTCGTATGTTTTCCATCTAGGTCGATTGATAATAACTTTCCTGTTTAAGAATAAAAATATGCGGTTGGCAATTCAAACAAGTGTACCCACAAAAATATACTCTATAGTAATAAGAATATATATGCTGGACTCTCCCGTCGTATTCGACGTATGAGGTTCAGGCAAATCAGTTCCTAGGAATCGACACTTGCACATATGATTTGATTATAATGGTGAAGGGTTTTTGCAAATCCAACCACACTTTTTGAACGGCCAAATAGACTTGGAGCACAGTTTTGAATTTTGTCTTTTTCCTAGACCAGTTGCCATCCAAGGCTATAGAACAGGGTCTGTCCTGCTATTTAGCCATAGCTGGAGGAGAAAGAAAGAGGCATGCACATACGAAGTGAATATAATGGATTCGAATGAATTTCAAAGTCGGCTGTCCGATTCCTAAACCCGTGCCACTGTCCATTACCTCACTGTACTCGAGAAGAATATATATATATATATATATATATATATATATATATATATATATATATATATATATATATATATTGAAGAAGTCATTCTAGAAGTCGAAACACGTATTATACCGATATTTTTTTCTATTTTCTCATCCAATTCCCTAACGCAAATACATACACACAATATATATATATATATATATATATATATATATATATATATATATATATATATATATATATATACATTTAGATAAATATATATATATATACTTAGATTCATTATATATATATATATATATATTGAGATCAAATGCTTAACAAATACAGATCGGAAACCCACATATATTTCTCAGAATAAGTGATTAAACAACAAACAGGAAACATTAATAACTCTAAAATGTTTTGGTTTTATTAAATATTTATCGGAGAATGAAACATGGAAAAAGATCCCGATCAACATGCGGACAACATCTAAACATAATAGCTACCATGAACACACACACACACACACACACACACACA